CTAGACTCTAAAGGCCAAAAAGCTTTGATTATTACAAGGGAGATACATTGAAAGGTTCTTAAAAGCTTCAACGTGGATAAAGTAAACAGAGTTCAGCAAGTGACGAAGAAAATGACAAAATGACAAAGAATTTCTCATGCATCAACAATTAAGTTTAATTGCATTCTACGAAATGATTCAAGGTATACATTGCCTATGGAATTTGTGTTGCTAGTAGATTCCTCTTCAATCGTGGTTTGGATAGTTAGGTTGCAATTAAATGTTCACTCAATACATCCACGAAACACTTCCAAAAGGTGCTTGTTTGTTGGGATTTAAAAGGCACGTCAGCAGGCTCTTTGGATGCTGATATGAAGGTTACATTGATTCAAGAAAATCCACCTAGTCTACACCTGGACCTTTTCACAGGGACTGGTATCTATCTCAGTGGTCCAAACTACAAAATTTCCGTTCTTTATCGACCATAGAGGTTGAGTATATCGTAGCAGCAGAGGGATGCAAATTAAAAACTATTGAAGTAAGGTATAATCAGATATGTAATGTGTTGAAAGTAACTGTTTTGTCTTAAGAATATTCATACCTATAAGAATGGGTCAAACATGATGAACAAAACTTTGCTTATGGAGAAATATGAACTTCACAAAATCAATACAAGCTTGGTTGAGCCACAACACAAGTCAGAAGGGGGATATTTGTCATGGCATCCCCATCTGATGTTGTGCAGTCTCACAGCAGAAACGAATAGAAAGGGAAGTGGCTAAGATTTATGACATAAAGTGAAGCCCCATTTTAGGAAAACAACAAAAGAATAATATAAGGATCAAGTTGAAGAAAGAAAAGGGGTTTCAATATTCTTTTTCTATTTCTTGGGGAAAAATAGTGTTGAATGACATCATCTAAAAGCTTGGATGAATTAATTTATTTAAATGATATCTTTAATACTATCTCACTTGCAAGTCATACTCATTTGCATTTCAAAGGCTTAACATGTGAAATTTTTTAAAATGGGTGACGTCAAGACTTGAATTCAAGATCTTTGTTTGCTTAAATATCCTGATGAACACCCTAATCTAAAAGCTTAAGCTTTTAGAGAAATAATAAGTATATTCATATATAATTGTATCAATAATTAATATTTTTGCGAGTCTTTACAAGATTCATACCTGATCAACCCAATCCCAGATAAATCCTCCTTGGAGACCAAATGTGCTATCAATTGCTTCCCAGTATTCGTGGATATTTCCATTGCTGTTTCCCATTGCATGTGAATACCTGTCGGTTTTTAGTCAAGCCTTTTTCAGGAGCTCAAATTGCAAATAAGATTTAGGATGGAAATTAGTGATATTTCCACTGATGAGAACCAATGATAACTCAAAAACATACTCGCACAGTATCAATGGCCGTATTTCTGCAGGATCTTCAGCTATCTTAACTATATCCCAAACACGCATGTACATAGGGCACACGATATCAGTTGAAGATGTCCTAGAACCCCCACCTTCATAGTGTAAAAACCTTGATGAGTCTTTTCCTCGTATCCAACCTGATATATTTTGCAACAAATGAGAGACCATATGACAAAAAAACACTTGCAGATGCAGTTTCAGCAGCTTCTACAAATTATCAAATTTATGACCATATAAAATAAATATGATCGCAGAAGTTATAAAAATGGTATAATTTACAAGAAGAAATTGAGTTTTTCTTTCGATTACTACTAGATTAGTATGTCTGCTTCCTCTAATTTAGTTTTTAGAATCTTCCTACAAAATCTTCCTACAACTTTAGTTACTCGGTATACCATGATACAAAGTGCATGGCAACGATTACAATCTCTCACAATCATGCAAAGAATAAGTAATTCCCAAAATAGAGCTTAGGAACTGAAAATATAAACTTCATAAGTAACAGACATTTAATATTAGTTTATGTAGAATTTCTGAGATTTAGTTATCGGAAATTAAGGTGTAATTGTATTTTATTATAGTTGTAAATACTATAATTTAGGTAAACCCGATAGTTAGGAGTTGGTTTCCTTGTTTGTAACAAAATAAGGAGTATGTTTTTCCTGTATCCCTTGATTAGTGGAAGGAATCTTTGTCTTCTCCACTATATATAATTTTTGTATTAATCTTTTTGAATAATAGACGAAGATACAATCTCTCTCAGAATTCTTCATGGTATCAGAGCTTTTCAAAAACCTTATATCTCTCTCATCACAAAGTACGGTAGGGCCACGGAGAAGAATGAAAACCCCTCATCTGAAGTCAACTCCAAGCTTGAAGCAGTCATAACAGGCTCCAATGGAGGATCAGAGAGTAGCAATCTTCTCGTTACAAGTCACAAATTAAATGGCATAATTATCTTCAGTGGTCCCAATCTATCATGATGTTTGCATGTGGTAAAGGGAGAGACGACTATCTCACTGGAGTTGCTGTTCCTCCTAGCAAAGAGGATTCAAAATTAAAATCACGGAAATCAGAAAATAATATGGTGAAGTCATGGTTGATCAATTCCTTGGTAAATGAGATTGGTGAAAACTTTCTCCTCTATGGAACTGCCAAGGAAGTTGTATAAACAGATAGTCGAAAAGAGGAGGGTGTTTAAGTTCCTTCTAGGACTTAACAAAGATCTCGACGAGGTGTGAGGAAGAGTCCTAGGAACAAAACCTCTCCCTAGCATTCGTGAAGCTTTCTCTGAAGTTCGCAGGGAGGAGAGTCGCAAGAAAGTCATGATGAGCTCCAAGTCTATCACCCTAAAATCTGGGGAAGGGTCTGCACTTGCTCTTCGACGATCTCAATCACCACAAACTGATGATAGCAAAACTATGAACGGAAGACCCTGGTATGACCACTGTCGCAAATCTGGACATACCAAAGATACATGCCGGAAGATATATGGCAAACCAGCTAATTGGAAACCATCATCCTCACGATTCTCTAATAACAAAGGAGGACAGGGACATGTCGCCTCTACCACAGACAGTCCTACTCCACCCAAGTCAAGCCTGTTCAGCAGAGAGCAGATTGAACTCCTACAGAAGATGTTTGAACAATCTCTATCAACCAACACATCATCAATAAGTGGAACTAGAACCTAAGCACGATCAGGTAATACCCTTAACGCCCTCAGTGCAAAGCAAGTGAAACAAAGGCCTTGGATTGTTGATTCCGGTGCCTCAGATCACATGACAAGTGATGCTTCTCTTCTCATAAATTTTAAGCCATGCCGTGATGAACTTACTGTCAAAATTGCCGATGGATCTATGTCCAAAGTAACAAGAATTGACTCAAGTCATAATTTCTGACTCACATTCTCTCAATTCAGTTTTACTTGTTCCAAATCTTGATTGCAAACTTCTATCAATCAATAAACTCACTCGTGACAGAAATTGTGTCGCTAAATTTGTTCATAACCTTTGTGAATTTCAGGACTTGGGTTCGGAGGAGATGATTGGCAGTGCTGAAATGTGTTCGGGACTTTATCTCCTCAAGATCAAAGCTTCTCCTAATAAACAAGCCCTACAGGTTATTTCAAAAGATCAAAATAAACTCATGTCCAGCCTTTGTTCCAATAATGATGAAGAGATTATGTTGAGTCACTATCGTTTAGCCGTTTAGGCCATCCAATTTTTTTGTACTTGGAAAAACTCTTCCCTTCATTATTCAAGAATAAAAATTCAAATAGTTGGCAATGTGAAATCTGTCAATTCTCAAAGCATATTAGGAATCTTATCATATTGTGCCATACAAAAAATCTCATCCCTTCTCAATGATTCACTCAGATATTTGGGGTCTTTCTCGAATTAAAAGCGTAACTGGAACACGTTGGTTTATCTCATTTGTCGATGATCATACTAGAATCTCTTGGATATTCCTTATGAAAGAAAAATCAGAGGCAAGTCAAATATTCCAAAATTTCAACACCATGATTCAAACTCAATTTCAAGCAAAAATCCAAGTGTTAAAAACTGATAATGCGAGAGAATACTTTACTTCCATTCTACACGATTATCTGCTAAGCCATGCTATTGTACATATAAGTTCATGTGTTGACACCCCACAACAAAAGAGGGTAGCTGAAAGAAAGAATAGGCATCTCCTTGAGGTAGCCAGGTCTCTCATGTTCCTAAAGAGTTCTGGGGAGAAGCAATCCTAACTACTACTTATCTCATAAATAGGATGCCTTCTCGGGTACTAAACTTCAAAACACCAGTCAATATTCTTCTTGAATCCTATCCAAACACCAAACTTATCTCTTCCATTCCATTAAAAGTATTTGGGTGCTCTGCCTATGTCCATGTGTACCAACAAAATAGAGGAAAACTCAATCCTAGGTCTATAAAATGCATTCTCTTAGGGTATTCTTCCGACTAAAAAGGGTACAAATGATGTTCTCCTATCACCAAACGGTTTTATAATTCAATGGATGTTACTTTCTTTGAACAACATCCATACTATTCCAAAACTGCTATTCGGGGGGAGAATCCAGCTAAAGAATACCAGCTTTGGGATTGCATACTTACTGGGAAACCCCTCTATTCAGATATTGCAACAATTCCCATATCTGATTTTCCAACAATACCCACATCTACGAGTCCCAATAGTTCCCAGCATATACCTCAAATTTCTGTCACAAATGACACTAAACAGAGCTACAAAATCAAACTAGCAGTCCTCCAAATGAACCCATTGAAATTTCAACTCCTTTGGCAAAGAGCCCTCACATTCCACCTATCCTAAACACTGAAATTCGTGTCTACTCTAGGAGGAAAAAAATCAAGAGGAAATGGAGAACCGAACACAATTTGAGCAAGTCCAAGACACTAACCCAATTTCAAGTCTTCCTGACAATTCTCAAGGTAATATCTCCAGTGAACCTGCCAATATCGAGATGTCTTGTAAGGATTTAGATTTGCCAATTGCATTGAGGAAGAGTGTAAGATCATGCACTAAACATCCTATCCACAATTATGTCTCATATAAAGGTCTATCTTCAAGTTATAGGGAATCTGAGAACAATCTTCAACAAATACATGTGCCCAGCTCTATTCATGAAGCCATCTAAGTACCTGAATGGAAAGAAGCAATTCTAGAAGAGATCCGTGCCTTAGAAAAGAACAAAACCTGGGAACTCACAAAACTGCCACTTGGAAAACAATCGGTTGTGTGTAAGTGGGTTTTTAATGTCAAGTACAAAGCAAATGGAAGTGTGGACAGATTTAAAGCTCGTCTTATGGCTAAAGGATTCACCCAATCATATGGGATTGACTACCAGAAAACGTTTGCCCCTGTTGCAAAACTAAA